CCCCAAAACCCCAAAACCCCAAAACCCCAAAACCCCGATTGTAATAATTTGCAAGATAATAGAATATATAATTTATTGAAATAAATCTTCTTTTTAAGAGGCAAATATTAAGAATATTATAGACTTATTCCATATCAAGTCATAAAACTAGAACTAATTGCATACTCTTTAGTTCAATCTCATGTAATCATAACTCAGTTATTTGTGCCTCTTTCTGAACCTCTCTTGCTGCTGTTAAATCTTGATCCTCTCAACAAACTGGGAGGCTCATATCTTCCAAACTCTGTAGGCATCTCATAGGTGCCTGGTCCGGGTTTTTCTACGTGCATTTAGTATTTATCCTCTAGCGCTTTTCTTTCGTCTTTGCCGAATACTGCTCTTCCAACAGATCTATATATGGATCGGTTATCCTCAGATAATCTATCTTTAGGTGTATACTATCCTGGACCTGGAGCCTTGATTTACTCAGCTACAGAAATTTAATCAGAATTTATGAATATTAATGAATTCTATCTTATTTACTTGGAACTCTGAATCTGTCCTTAGCTTAGGGGAACTTTGTTGTTCTAGGGGAGATGATATTTGATGTCAGTTTAGTAGTTAGTTCTGGTCCGACTAGATCAGGCTATTGATAGAATCCTGGACCTGGAAGATATCCACTTTTAAATAACTCCACTAATCAATATAGTTAATTGATATTTTATCTAATTTACATTCTCTCAGTTAGGATTTAGGTGATAATGTATATTAAGGTCCCAATTTTCCAAATGTGGGAGGAGGTACGTAGTGACCTGGTCCTGGCAGCCCATCAGGGGCTAATTTTTCTATCACTTATATGTGTATCTTCTTCATGTTTTCCTTAGCAAGTCCGAAACTGAAGGAATTCGATTAGTTTTAGGGGCTAAATTAGCTTTTTTACTCGTATTTAGCTGGAGATGGGAGATTTCCATGTTCTAGAGCAGTTAAAGAATTTAAAATTTGGAAATTTACTGTTTAAGTTGGGGTAATACTTAAATCTCTCAGTTGATCCAAAAGCCTTACCTAAACCTGATGTAGAATTTAGGTTATCATATAGGCCTGGTAAATTGTAAGAAATATGAGGGTTAATGCTAAACAACAGTCAGATATATCAAATTTACCTTTTGTTATTATTAAACCTATTTGCTTTAGAGAATGTAAACATAGCTTTTGATTTAGAGAGATTGAGAGGGCTTTACACTGCAAAACTAGACCCCATTATCATAGTTTTGTTCATGTCTTTTGCATTAAATGATGTGTTGTACAAAGTCCTATTTTACGGTGTCTGAACTGATGATTGGTCCATGTTTTTTTAATGTACTAAGTTTTATTCCAAATATAAATTATTTGATTCCTCCAAATCTTTCCATACTATATCATGAGGGGTTTTGGGGTTTTGGGGTTTTGGGG